CGCTCTTCCCTAATGAATAGTGCCCCATCATGGGTCACTGGAGCCCCCTGCTGATAGACCCTGTCAGTGCCGGGGAAGAAGAATGAATAATGTTTCCCCGAAGCCGGATGCTGTGAATTTGAACTGTTCTTGGGCACCAACCGGGGGCAGCTGAGAAGCTGTAATTAAAAAACAACCGCCACCTACATAAATGAAGAAATACTACATGTCAGGATGTCAGTTTTGGTGGAATTTAACCTTTGGTCTGCTGGGGCTTTGAAACACTCCAAAAAGCTACAGCTGTGGATCAATAGTGTGAGAAATGTTGGAAAGGTTGCAAACCTTTCCATCCGTCCTACTGTGCCTTTAATTGCAGCCTTGTCTGCATAACACCTTTTAAAATCACTGCCTTTCAACTCGAATCTTGCTGGAAAATGAGCCTTTTTTTTCCCCCCCCCCCATCTGTGGCAGCAACAACCTCCACTCATCTGGTGTTTTCTAAGGGAGGGTCAATAATTCACTAATAATCTGTAGCCATTCGAATGCTGAGCTCCCTCTCTCCCTATCTGCTGTGTTTTCAAGACCGTGCTGCATTTGACAGCAAGACCCCTGTGTCCATGCATGTATTTTTCCCCTCTGTCTACCCGCCGTAAGGGAAGAAAACCAGGAATTTGCAAAGGACCAAGCATCTCAGGGGTGGTTCGCCACCAAAGACCCCCCAGCGCCCACATACTGGAGGCAGCGATTACTTTTCTAACAGTGTATTTTCTTCCCAGAATGTAAATACAGTATTATTAGACATGTTCTTTCTTCCTGGTGGTTACGGCTATTCAGTTTTCCCTTTGTATCCTATTAAAAAGTGGGTTCAGTATTCAGCAGTAACCGCTGCAAACGCTGTAACTATCAATAATGTGCTTTTGCTGTTGCATGAGCGTTGCTGTAAAATCCTGTGGTCATGCTGTCGGGGTGAGTGTATGCGTTAAGTACTCCGGAGACCTGGCGTGGGTCTTATATACCGTCTTTGTCCTTGTGAGTGACAGGGCAGCAACAGCCTACTCTTGCCGTCAAGCCGGCAGTGACAAACTTGGTGTGAAAAACCCTCCCAGTCAACCCCGTTCTTACAGGCGAGCGCCTGGGAATGGCTGTCAGCGCTGGTTCATGACTGTAGGACCCATCTTTGTGAACGGCTCAGATAATAAATCAGTGTTTAGAGCGCCCTTTAAGAAGGGAAAATTGGCCACCAAGCCACGTTTTTAGCATCAAATGTCTGAGAGAGAGACCTGAGCAGGACCCCGAACTGGATGCCTGCAGCCTGTGAATCCCCATCTCCGCTCAGCGTCTGATCATTATCAGATCCCTTAATGTCTCGGCTTGGCTTTCCCTGTCTGTGAAATGGGGATGATAATACTATTGGGCCTATTTCTTATTTATACTTAATTCCCTTGCTACCATAAGGACAGCAAAAGGGGGTCATAAACGGAGGCATAAATGATATTTTACGCTCTCTCAAAGGCCCTGTTATGCTGCCAGAAGGCATAAAGGGGCCTTAGCGTACCTGAGAATCTGTCCTGTACTGAGGATTAATTAGCTGATGTTTGCAAAAGCCTTTAAAAGATGGAGGGGAAAAAAACACGTGGCTAATCATGAGCATTAGTAGTCCGTTTTAACGGCCTGCATCTAATAGTGAGTGGTCGGTGATCCTGAACGGGAATTTTTTTCCCCCCTTGTTATTAACTGCAAGGGTCTTTCAAAGCTGCTGAAGTGCTGCAAGAGTCATGCATTATACCCCTGGCTACACGTTCGAATTTAGCACCGTGCTGGGTTTCCAGGTGCAAGCAGGTTAATGGTGTGTGCGTATGCGTGTGCGTGTGTGTGTGTGTGTGTGTGTGTGTGTTTAAAGCCCTCATTGAAGCGTCTGGCCACAAAATGATGCTTTGATCCTATCCATTTGCAGTTAATGAATCCAGCAACTGGATTGTAACTCTCTTATAATACATGCATCTCCTTTCGTTTTCTCTTGTAGAGTTATAAAAGATCTGCTGCTGTCCCAACTAACGAATCCAGCTCTATTAACGTGGACTAATGTATCCTCATGCGCAGTAACCCTCGAGACAAAGGCAGATGAGTTAGGATGGCTTCACCAAAGGTTAAAACGTTGCAGAAAAATAGCCACTGCCTATACAGTGCCATCTGTATTCATATGGGGGTATCGCCATTGTATTACAAATTGGGATGAGTCGCATAAAGCCCCCATCGAAGCAAAAATGACTTGGTTCCTATCAGATTTAGCATTTTAGGAACGTAACTTTTTTTTTTTTTTAATTTTGGTGGAGAGAAGCAAGCAAATGTTGGAAACTTTTTGCAAACCAGACTTTGGTTTGGCTTCCGAACCTCGAGATTTTTGGGGGGTTGGTTTTTAAATTGTTCTGTCTGCTGATAAGAGACCCTGTGATGAAAAAGAAATAGGGCAAATTCAAACGAGCACAAAGTACTTCACACGGAGCGTGCTGAGCTATGGAGTTTGCTGCCCCAAGAGGACATGCCAATCCTTAGCCACGTGGACCAGTGTGGCTTTATTAATGTCAGCAGAGCTCTGCCTGTTACACCAGCAAAATGGTCTAATATTATACTTGATTTTTTAAAAGGGAGCCGGGATAATTTTATGGTGCGAATTAAAATCAAATGTGTTGCAATCCACTTTAAGATGCGTGTAATGACGTTCATCCTCTAGGGCATTTCGGAGATTGTCACATGGGCCAGGAATGATTTTTCCTCCCTTTCTATTAAACATAAGATAATTGCTCAGGTACATTCAATTAATTTTTGTATGCCTTTCACTAAAACATTAAGTAAACGGAAACCAGGAGCGCGGTCCTGAGCTGAACTGCAACTATAGAGCCAAGTCCATATAACATCTCACATATTGATCTCTTCTACTTAATCTAATTAGCATTATTAGCTATCATAGTAATAGATATCAGAAGTAGGGATCCAGTTTGTGGAGCTTGTTTAAAACTACTTGGCGAGGAATAACGGAGGGTGAGGATGAGGGTGAGGTTTCTTTTTACCAGAACAGGAGCAAGTAACAGGGCAGAATTGATTGCTGTCACTCATCAGTAAATATGGAGGAACAGGATTATGGATCCGGGGCAGTGTTGCAGTGTTTTAATCTGAAAATCAATGCAGAAAAAGGAAGTTGGCTTTGTGGGGATATTGTAGAGGTTGTGATGTTGGTTTTGATCAGGTTTTATTCTGCAAACAGAGCCACTAATTCCCCATCACCTTTTGATTAATACGGGGAGAGAGCTAAACTCACCCCTGCTTGTAATGCTCTTGAACTCGGTGGAGTTTCCCCAGGGAGGAGTTTAACTCCTATTTCTCAGACCAAGCAAGGACTGCGACGGCTGCAGCCTGTCTGTGTGTCTCCGAAATAACCCTTCGCACACCTGACCGACCTATTGGCCCATTTCGTATTCGCATGGGGGTTTTGTAACACGCCATCAATATTTTTAATAACAGGGCAATCAAATACATACGGCTTTGGTAAAGACACCCCAAGGTGACTCGAGGAAGCTTGACTGTAATTTCCAAATCCCCAAATTTGCAATCCGTCTACATCTCTCATATTTATTATGAGATATTTTCAGCCCCCTGCTGCAGATGGTGAAAATTATTTTTAACCCGTAAAGTTCCCTTTTGCAATTCATGTTGCTATGATAGGGCACCTGCGGTATTAGAAAGACTGCACGGTACTTCTCAGGCTTGCCAGAGCATGGGGGTTTCTGGGGTTGAGAGCAGCACGCGGGAATGTATGCAACACTTGGGGCGGCAAAGAGAAATTTGGGACAAGGAGCAGGGGGCCAAAGCTTTCATCTTAAAGGGCAGGCGGTGAGGGGGTGGTGCTTTAATGAGCCAGGCATGTTAATTAAAAGCACCCGAGCGTCCCCGCACTGAAAAATGTCAGCGGGGCGCTTTGAACTAAAGCTCGTTGGACCAGGTTGAGTTCAAAGCACCCCACTGCCATTTTTCACCATGAGGACGCTAATACACATGAGGTTGGAGGCTGCCAGAGCGCATTAATTTCCGATTAATCGAGCAATGAATTGAGTCTGCTCCGATGCTCGGGATTGACAGCACGTCGGAGCCCAGGGGTGTCACGAGATCTGTGACGTCAGAAACCCACTTGATCAGGGCTAGAGTAGGCGTCCACAGTGCGCTCCCCAGCCAGCGGAGGCTGCATGTGCGTGGCTTTTCTGCAAAAGTCCCTTTGGTTTTAAGGTCTTTTTTTTTTCCCCAAGAGAAATCCATCGTATTGCAGTTATCAGCTTCTGAAGGATGAGGAGCTAAGTCAGCCCCACCGATACTGAAGCCCCAGGTGCTCAACAGGTTTTAAACCTGATGCTGAGATCGCTGAGCCAGCCCCTTCTATTTTATATCTCCTCTGCCTTTCCCTTTATCACTTCATTTCACGTCGCTCAGCTGTCCACGGTGCTCAGCAATTCAGCTCATTGCTTGGGGACAGCAGCGTCCTGCTGTAGGGTTGCATCTGTGACCCTAATTGACAACATCCAGAAAATGCAAAGTTAAGACGGGTGCTTGACCCTTTCCTCTGTTTTACGCCTCCTTCTCCTTCATTTTAATGACTTGATAAATAAAGAACGACAACATCCACCGTGAGTCCTGAATGATGCCAATTAGCACTCATTTTGATGGCGGCGTTTCTGATCCGGTCCCTTGCTAGCTAATAGTTAGAGTTCGAAGGCCCAGCTCGTTTGATAAAGCTTGCTGAGTCTTATTCACGTGATGATGAATTTAGGCAGCGCTGTCCTCATCCAGTTCGAACCAGTAGCTTGGAATGGGGTGCTCTTTAAAAAGCCATAGCCATTTCAGTATTTCCCAGTATCGTGAATGTAGCCACACCTTCTCTGTGATCCACGGTCTTCTCAACATTTCCTCGCGTCTCCGCTGTATCGGTTGTGTGCAATGACATGTCTTCACGCTGTCTGGTTTTCCTTTCCAGAGTACAGTGATTGTGGAGAAGACAGTGCAAGACCTCATGGACCTGATGCATGACATGAGAGCTTATTCAGATCAGTTCCTCAACATGGTGTGTGTGAAGCTCCAGGAATACAAGGACACATGCACTGTTGCTTACAGGTACAGACCATCTTGTAAAATAGAGATTGGCTCCACCGGCCATGATGCCTCTAAATCATCCACGTCTGGCATGATCGGAGACGGGATCCTGGGCTGATGGGCTATTGGTCTGACCCAGAATAACATCTCTTATATTTTTATGATGGTTGGAAGGGAAAAGGTATTCAGTAAGAAAGAAAATAGAAGGCCCTATATATGTTTGATATGTTGTTATCGTTCCAGTCTCTAGGATGGAGTCGGTTCCCCTCAAGTGAAACTTTTACGCTCAGTTAGGCAGGGGCATATCTCTGTGGGTGAGAGGGAAATCTAGGATGATAGCCACCCATGTGTAGAGTCTGGGGAGACTCGGTGTTGGCACACCTGTGTGCTTCCTCTCCGAAAAGACTTGATTCGGCTCATGGCAGCACCTCGACAAAGACAAAGTCTTTGTTCTCGGTCAGGGGCAGGGGGATCTGAACCTGGACCAGAGGAATTGGGATGGAAAATGTGTAATCTCCCTAAGCACCTCCCTGCATCCATTGTCATACTTGGCTAGATGATGTGACAAAACAAGTCAAATATTTTCCCATTCCAGGTTCTAAAATGCACGCAGGCTGAGCTTGTGAAAGCCAGCTGAGGGGCTTCAGTGCGCAGCTCTCACCCAGCTTATTGGGACGTGGATCTCCAAATCCAGGGAATTGTATTGACTATTGTTGCTTATTTGCATTTTGTTCTCCCCAAAGGTTCCTGAAGTACAGGATCCCTGGGCCACATCATTCATTTGCAGTCTGTGGCAGGAACTGAACAGCTTCTAGCACCGTGGCATGGAGGCGCGTAGCACAGGGAATGAAGGAGGGCCAGGGGCTGCAGTGCTACTGTGGTAATCTGGAGACTGAGTTGAGCTCCTTGCTCTATCATAAACTTCCCATGCAGTCTTCAGCAAATTGCTTAAGTCAGGGGTATCAAACATGGCTCATGGGCCAGATTCAGCCCTTGGAGTCTCATATAATAAGTATGATACTTATTATGTGAGACTCCAAGGTATATTATCCAAGGTATATCATATTATATGATACTGTTGGGCTACCAGTGTGGCTGGGGGAAGTGGCCTGCTGCAGATCATGGCAGTGGGTGGCAGAAGGGCGAGTGATGGCTCATATGGCCCCAGTCACCCCCTGGCTGCTTTGCCCATCTACACTGCCACAGCCCTACTTCCCCAGCCACTGGCTGCCAACGCCACCACCGCGTGCCAAAGCTGGAGCTGCTGCCACGTGCCCCATGTCGGAGCTGGAGTTATCAGCATCACCAGAGCTTCCTCTTGCGCCAGGCTGGATCTGGCTTGCAAGGAGTCCCGTGGTCCCGATCCAGCCCAGGGCAGAAGGTGAGTTTGATGCCCCTTGACTTAACCTATGGTTATACTGCAATAGCGGTATACCCCAGCTGGGATGTTCCAAGTACTCCCCTCCCACAATGCACCTCTGAGGCCACTTCAGGTTGTCTCTCTGGCACTGCTCTCGGGACCATGACCCGTGGGGACGAACCTGGAGTGGCCGCGCTGGCACATATTTCGAGTTTGCAAGCAGGCCATGCTGCGTGGATCTCCTCTCATATCCTAAAGCTTCCCTACCGCATGTTAGGAAGGCACCTGGCCCCTTGGTTGTGAAGTGCTAAGTGAGCTATGGTCACGAGGGCCATTAAACGCACAGTACCTTTAAATAGCTAGAATCCAAGCCGTTGATATACACGGTACCTTTAAATACCTAGAATCCAGGCTGTTGACGATAGGGAAAACATTTTTAAAAGCTCCTTGTTTTATTTTTCCAGATAATGTGAAGGAATTATTTCCGTTGCCTGATTTCATTTAGAAACATTACATCTGCTAATTGGCTGCATACGGTCCTTCCTTCCTTCTTGTGTCCCTGTTGTGAAAAAGTAGCTAGCAGAATTTGCAGATTCCCTGGAAGCTGCCATGAGCGCTTCTGCTATGGTTTTGATCGTGCGATCTCTGGGCTGGTAACCGTGCGCCGTGCCCCCTGCACCACCCCAGCCCTTCACTGCATGTGGCAATATGAATAAAGCTAATAATAATAGACACACATGTGAGTATGGGGGGGATGTCTGGTAGTATACACACATGCATATGTGTGTGTACAACTACGCATACACACATATATACACTTATATGTCTGCACATATATCCGTCGCCATTAATAATAATAACATGACTTTTTATGAGATCTTGCTGGCTGAAAGCAGACAAATGGCAGTAATTTGTTTACAGTTGTTGGTTTGAATTTCCAAAGGACTTTTCTTTCTTTTATTCTTTCCTTCCTTCCTTCATTCCCTGATACCAGCCCTAGCTTTGGCACCTGCTGAGGAGTAATTAGGACAGCCCTAATTTGGACAACCATATCCTGATTGCAGCAAGAGGAAAAACAGGAAACGTTCGGGTTTTGCTGCTAGCAAATGACTGACTGAAATAGAAATCTATATACAATTCAAATGATTCAGAGGAACGTAGCAGGGACAGGAGAAATTGTTACCCTGCTTCGTGTGCATGTGTGTGCATGCAGCTTGAGCTATCCAGAGAGATGGTAAAATCTATAAGGTAGCAATGCCCTCTGCTGGGAGTTTTCATGTAGTCGAGCTCCACGCTGTCTTGCCCTTTGAACCACCGTTTCCCCCCAAGGCTTGAGAGGAGGGCAGAGGTGAAGCAACAATTACCTCCAGTGCGGGTTTTGGAAAGACCCAATCCTATAAATTGATGTTACTCTATTGCAGTCAGTGGAACATGGCTGATTTACACCAGGTAGCGATCCAGTCCTGCAGATATACAGCTTGCCCTGACTGTACGACCATTGCAAATGCTAAGCTAAAGGGGACGACTTTTTGGGAGAGGAATTGTGTGCATGTGTGTGTTCACGTGCCCAGTGGGTAGAAAAGAGATGTGAGATTTACCATTATTTTTGTAAGTGCCAGAAAAACTCATGGAGGAATAAGTCTCTGGATTGCTCAGGCTGCATGCACGCATGCACATGCACACAAAGCAGGGTAACAACTATCAGGGTCTGTGCCTTGGGCGGCAGCAGGGGCTGGGCCAGCTCTGGGAGCAGCAGCAACTGGGTGGGCAGCGGCGCGGGCTGCTGCTCTTGCACCCTCTTGTTATGCTATTGAAAACTCATGTGCAAGTCTTACTAGCTTGCATGAAGTTAGGGACCAGGTTGAAAAACACTACATGATTTAGGAAGAGAGATAATAGAAGGCTAATGCAGTGGCCAGTTGAGTTATTGGCTTTGCTCTGTCTGTCTCTTGGAGAAAGTGTTAACAAATATGGATTTCATAGAATCACAGAAAAGCAGAGCTGGAAGGGACCTCCGGAGGTCATCTAGTCCAGCCCTCTGCTTGAGGCAGGATCATCCCTATCCAAACGAATCCGTACAAGTCTTTGTCTAACCTGTTCCTAAAACCGTACAGTCAACCCTGCTGCACAGCTACAAGGCATATTGCCCAAACCTGCCACCTTGAAACATGGACTGTGTCTTAATACAGTTCTCTTTTGGCATTGAGTACCTTCAGGATGCAACTAATAAATCAAAGTAATGATTTAATCATAAATCAAATAGCCCAGATGGATGCCTTTGTGTACAAAGCTTTCTGTTCTGCATGTGACTAGAAGAGGTGGAATCCTCTGAATCTGCAAAGACCCGTACAAAAAACTACACCTTAAGCCTGCCATTCAGAAAGGGCAGTTAAATAAAGGACTTTACTTGCAACTATTGAATAGTAACTGCTTTTGGTTTCAAAAATAGGATCCACCTTTCAGCAGTTCAGGTTTGAGAAGACACTTTCCCCTAGAGTCAGACTGTGCCACAGATGTATACTACAGCAACCTACCTCTGAAGCAGTGGATGGACCTCTGATGGATTATATGAACCGCTAGGCTAAATCAGTATGGCTGTTCCCACGTTGAAGTGTGCGACTTGGAGGACTAGATCTATATGTGCTAGATCACAAGAGTTACAGAGATCCTGAAAGTGATACTCATTCACTAATGGAGGCTGCTGGCATGGGTGATAGGAAATAGTCTCATCATTTCAGAAACTTAAAATCTGGGAGGTTTGGCATTGCGTTTCGATTTTCTTCTGATGTTTCCTATACGGACAAGAACCTAACACGATTGAAAAATAGTTTAGAGACTTACTTAGATACCAGGGAATCCACAGTTATAATTAATGACACCAAATTCTGCCACGGATATCAGGTGGGAGAATTTATTTAACAAATTGCGAATGCAATGGGAAAAAAAAAAGATGTGGTTGTCTCAAAAATGCTGAATAAACTTGCAGAATAAATTAGCTGGAAAAAAGGTATCAGGGCCAGATTCACAAAACTACTAGTCTTACTGGTGGGGTACCTCTTTATTCCATCACCTTCATAGGCACTTCTGTCTTCTCCTCCTCTGGCGGCGCGTTTATTTGGCCACTGTCTTCCTCTGATTTTCCAACAAATATCTGCATTGTATTTTATGGAACCATTTGTGTTCAAATGAAACTGGGGGAAGAGTGTTTTTGCAAATGAAAAAATGAAACGTTTAATAGTAGGCTCTGACGAGGGTGGTTGAACATTGGGACAGGCTGCCTAGAGGAGCTGGGGAAGCTCCATCCCTGGAAATTTTCAAGAGCAGGTTGGACAGACGCTTGGCTGGATGGGATGGTTTAATCAAGGATGATCCTGCTTTGAGCAGGGGGTTGGACTAGGTGACCTCCTGCGGTCCCTTCCAACTCTGCTTTCATGAAACAATTTCTCCTTCGGTTTTTTAGTTGATCAACCAAGACCCCCAAAATGAGGACATTGTTCATAGAGCCTTGTGCTTCAGGCCTTGGATTTTTAAATAACAAGGCTTGGGGGGGACAGTAGTGTAAGGCACTGAAGGCCTGTGGGTGAAGGTAGGTTAAGGGGGGAAGAGGAATGATAAGTAGTGTAAGGGAAGGATCGTGAACATGGAAGATTTGTGGGTGGGAGAGGGAACTTCAAAGTATCTAAATAAATAATTTCCAGCATGACCCTTATCCCTAATTGGGATGTGGCTGCTATGTGGTGCAGGCATTTAACAGACAGAGATTTGCAGCCCCGAGAGGTGCCCAAGGGCACTTAGGATACCTGTGACAGAACAGGGACCTGAACCCAGCTTTCCATAGCTTTGCAGGAGCTCCCTAACTTCTCGATCCCCTTACTCTACCCTGGTTTGCTTCCTTTCCACACCCCTTTGTGGTCTGCAGCGCAAAATGTGGTCTTGCAATGCAATGCAAAATACGTTGCACATTTTGCATTGTAAGCTTTTCAAGGCAGGGAGCTGGGGGGTTTTTGTCTGTCAGGTGCCAGGCACCACATGGCGAGTGCACAATCATAGATTCTGGACTTTCACCAGCGTGAGACAAAACCGCTATGAATCGACGGTCTCCAGAGCTTGGCTTCACCCTTTCTTTGGCCGCGCCAAAAAACCCATCCTCCCTGACTAATTTTGCCGTGCATCAACAGGGTACAATTTGCATCTCTGCCCCCCACTTGTTTCCTTAACGAAGAGCCGTGGCATCCCGACTGCATCCAGGGAGCAGTCACGCTGCACAAGTGCTCAAACGGATGAACGATGTGAATCTGTGGCCACAACGTCCGACAGATGTTTTATGACCAGAACTCACTGAGCTGTGCAGGGATGGGCCTTCCTCATGGATGCGGCATCACCTGTTCAAGTGCTGTACCTATTCCCCTGCCCCCCCCGGGGAGCTAGGTACAAACCATCACGCAGATGGCTGGTTGAGCTGTGAATTAATTAGTAGACGATGGCACTGTGGTCATGATTAACTCTATTACTGCAGCAAGGAGTAATTGGATAGGTTTGGGTTGGTTGGGGGATGCTTGTAAGTAGGCATTCTGGACGATGGGAAAGCATCTCATAACGTCTCGTTATGTGTCACTCGAAAATCTTAATTAGATCAATGTTGATAGGAAGCTGGCATGCAGACCCAAAGCCAGATGAAATGCTGCAAACGAAGGGTGGTGCTAAAAGACTTAAGCAGCTGACGGTGGGAGCGAGATATCTATTGGGTTGCAAAGAGGGATCAGTGCGAGGTCCCGTCCTCTGCTAATGAGCAAGGACGGGACCTCACACGGCTAGTGTGTCTCTCTGCTAAGGAGCAAGTAGATGGAGTAGAAACAGTAGTGAAAGAAAGTTTGGAGATGCCCCCACGGTCTTTCCTGCCCACGTGCAGGGGGGCTGGACCCGATGATCTTGTGAGGTCCCTTCCAGCCCCTGACAACTATGAACCTATGCCACAAGCATGAGACGCAACGGAGGAATCCTACAAAGTTAGTTTACAATTATGGACCTGTTGCCTGCCATTGATTAAGGTGAACTCCCCATTGATTTGAAGCTGAGCTTTGCACTGCAGCTCAAATGCATAAGGTCCCAGGGGTAGGGTATTCACCCACAGAATTTGGACAGATGTTTCTGGGGTCCAATGAGAACGATGGGAGGGAGCCTCTTGGAAAAGCAGGAAGTTGCCAACGAGCAGGCAACAAATGAGATCTGAGTTTGCAACTCAATATAGCAACAAAACCAACAAGGAAAAAAAAGGGCAATCAGATTTTGGGCAGGAGATGCCTCGTATCATAAAGCAGAGAAGTAATTGCGTCCTCTGTACGTCTCTGGTGAGAAGGCTCCCAAAGACTGCGTTCAATTGTACGCATCTGAAGGGACATGATAACAGTCTATACATAATTGAGGAGCGGAAACAGTATGAGCGGCGAGAGATTGAGGCTGCTACAAGGGGCTAGCACTGGGAGTAATGGGATAACATTAAGCTAAGAAAAACATCGCCGTAGTATCTGGATTTGCACCCCCCAAAAGGTTAGGTGTGTTCAACTGTGAAATCAATTCCCAAGGGAAGCAGAAGTATCCCCCCAGCTTTCGGTCATTTAAAAACTTGACTGGACAAAGCTCTGGCTAATAGATTCCAGGAAACCTTTGCATTGACAGGGAAATGGATGGAAATGATCTTCTTCATCCCATTTCTCTTCGGTGGCCAAGATTTTGCTGGATGTTTTTAAAAAGAAATTGAAAGGAAACCTTGAATTCTGTCTGTGAACAATGCAGTGCCCCCTTTCTTGTGGCAGTGTTTAATCCGCCCTCTTTTTAAAAGGTTAGAGAGATGCCTTTGTTAGCAGAGGAAGAAACCACAAGTTTCCAAACAGCAATCCTGAGGCTTGGTCACGGAAATCTTGCGGGGCTGAAAATTGCATCCGTTCCTTTTGCTGGTGGTAGATTAAACATGAAATGTCAGAGCACAGGCAAGCACAGGTGACAGTCCTTTTCCCAGATCGCCGCAGGAGGAAAGGTGGTTTTCTCGGAGAGCTCAAAGGGGATGATCAGCTGTTCAGCCATGGTGGCAAGGAGCCGTGATGTAGCCCACTTAGAAGCAACTCCGTCTTGTCTCATCTCACTGCCATTGTCACTGGATTCCCTTTAGAAGCTCGTAGACATGATGTGTGTCGCGATTGCTTTTACCTCCATTCGGCTCGTGCAACATATCCGTTGGCCAATTTAAATTTCAAATAAAGCAAATTAACCCGTGCGGCATACTGGTTTGCAAGATGCCTGTCTTGCACGGTACTTCTTGTGTTATTGTATAACAGCGTCACCAGTTGAGCCACTAACTTAGCATTGGGGGCTGAGTAAGCGCTGTATTGGTGTTTTATTTAAGTGCAAAATCCATCTGGTCTTGCAGCTTCTTAAGAGCATGAGAAAGATGTCTACGAGGGAGTGTGAGAGGGTCTTCTCTGCCCTAACAGAAAATAATAGAACTAATAATTAAAGGTTTTTAGCATCTTTATTTGGGAGTCTCCAAGCACTTCATCCGCATTAGTTATAGGTTCTTACTACCGTCATTAGCAGATGATGCTGTATTCATTTAGAAAGGATGTACCCAACCTGCAGCACTTGCGGTGGTCAGTCCACGAGTGCGATCCTAGGTGTCATCCTGGCCCCACGTGCCAACACATCTCCATACACCAGATGTAGCCACACCATGCACCAGTCCAACCCTGCGGGTCTGATCCGACATGGTCCAGTTCAGCCATGGAGCGACTCTGCCCGCTGGCCCGACCATGCACCAGCACAGTCTAGCATGCAGGGCCACGTTATCCATCCAGTGACAATTAACAGTGCTGCTGCTCCCCTGCCGTCAGATTTCCAGACCTTTAGGGAGCCCGCAGGCCAGGTGACCCGGCTCTGTGGCCTGGAGGCTGAGCACCATTGAATTAGGGTAAGACAGGAGCATAAGACAGGCACGTGAAATGTGATCTGTATTTGTACATGGTAGCATGGGGGAGCAGAGGGATTCTGCTTCACTCTGCGTCCACTTTATGGATGGATAAACTTAGGCAAAGAGAAGCTGGGAGACTTGTGAAAGGTCATTTGGAGAGTCGATGACAAGGGTCTGGAAGTGCGCCAATGAGCTGCGACTCCAGCCCCCTTTACACCCACTTGAAAGTTGTTTCTCAGGCCCTTTCAGTCCACCGGAGTGAGATTGCCTCCCGCTTTGTTGACCAGCACCGTTCTCACCGACTTTCATTGGGGGCACTGGTGGTCATGGGAACTGTGCTCCTTTAACACGCTGCCAGTCGTGCCCAATGCATTTCAACAGGGAAACAAGCAGCTAATCAGCATCTTTGTGCATAATGTCTCTTCTGTCAGCAGGGTTTCAGTAGCACAGACATTAGTCATATTGCTGAAAACATTAAGCAGGCAGCGTCTCAATATTTTGACTGAAGCATAATCTCTGATTCAGGATTATGGGTGCATTTGATATGAAATCTTTATTAGATGATTCAGTTGACTCGGCAGCAGGAGACTGTGTCTTTAATCTCCTAGTCCCTGGTTCCAGATAGGCTTCCCAAGTTCCTACCTTTGAGACCGTTGGTGTGCATTGAGTTGGTGGCTTTCACCCAATCCTTCCTGCATAGGTTTTTGTTGCACAGATCCAAAAGGCACTAGATAGCAGTCTCAGTAGTAATGCTGAGAAGCAGGTGAGCCAGAAAAATTAAATTAACTTTTCCTTCCTGCTTATGAAATAAGATCCTTAAGCAGCATCAATCCAAGTAGCTTCATTGACTGCAAGGGAGGGGTGAGGATATGGACCCATTTGAGTACATAATTAACATTAGCAGGTATTGTTCGGGGAGATGCTTGCACTGTATCTGCCCATATAGTGCGTGTCCTGTTGGTACATGGAAAAGTCATGCTTTTTGAACTCCATTAGGAACCAACCATTCATAAATATGGTGCATTTCAGAACAGGATTCGTTGTGAAGTGAAGCGACTGCCTATGCAGCAAGTAAGAGTTGTCTTTGCCTACCATGCCTGTTGTTGATTTCTTTCAGGAGCATCGTCCAGTCGGATGAAAAGCTGGTTATCAGTGCATCCTGGGCAAAAGATGATGACATCAGCAGGCTCTTAAAGTCTCTGCCCAACTGGATCAATATGGCCCAGCCCAAGCAACTAAGACCTAAGAGAGAAGAGGAGGAAGACTTTATAAGGTAAGGTATCTCACCATTGATGTCCTAACCGGCTCCATAATGCTCTGATGACAGCAACAGGAAAAATTGTTGTTAAAAATGAAGAAGTAATTTATATATTTCCCTGATATTTACATTTCTGATGCAATCAGGACTGTAAACATCGTGGTTCTGTCCCTTTGCAGCAAAGCATGGGTGGGTATCTAAACTTTTGGGGCGTGAGCTATTTGTAGATGTCATGCCATGAGGGTCTTCACCATGAAGCCGATACCATATCAATATTTAGCCCGATCTAGGCAGCAAAAATAATATTTAACGAAATGTATTTCTATAATCTTAGCTCATTTTAAAGTTCTCAGAATACTACCTAAAATAAAAACACGCCATCATGTTAAGAAACCAAAGTTTTCTGTAAGGTGGATAGAGAACTGGCCAGATCATTGGGTTCAAAGGGTAGTAATCAATGCCTCAGTGTCCAGTTGGCAGCCGATATGAAGTGGCACGTCCCAGGGGTCAGTCCTGCGGCTAGTTTTGTACGGGTTCTTCGTCAGCAACCTGGAAGATGGGATGTATTGCACCCTCAAGAAGTGGGCAAATGACACCAAGCTGGGGAGAGCAGTCGATATGCTGGGAGGTAGGACCAGGGGATTCAGGAGACCAAGACAAATTGGAGGATTGGGCCAAAAGCAATCTCATGAGGTTCAACAAGGACAACTGCAAAGTCCTGCACTTAGGATGGAGCAGTCCCATGCACCGGTGCAGGCTGGGGGTGACTGGCCGGGCAGCAGCTCTGCAGAAAAGGACCTGCGGGTGACAGTGGACAAGAAGCTGAACATGAGCCAGCAGTGTGCCCTTGTTGCCAAGAGGGCTAATGGCATCCTGGGCTGCATTGGTAGGTGTGTTGCCAGTAGGTCAAAGAAAGTGATTATTCCCCTCTGTTCAGCACTGGTAAGGCCACATCTGAAGTCCTGTGTCCCGGTTTACCCCCTCCCCACTACAGAAAGGATGTGGACAAATTGGAGAGAGGCCAGCAGAGAGCAACGAAAATGGTTTGGGGGCTGGGGGACATGACTTACGAAGAGAAGCTGAGAGAACTGGGCTTCCTGGACCTTTGTACACACCACAAAATTGGCCTTTAAAACAGCTTAAATGCCCTTTTGCACCGATTTAATGGCATTGCCATTTGCACGTTCGACAGCGTATTCCACTTTCACGCCGTTACTGTTTGCACACTCGGCGGCGTATCGCGCTTTAAGTGACTTTGGAACGTAGCAAGATGTAACACTTCCGCGGTGGTTTAGTTTGCTACCTGACAAAGTGCAACAGCGCAGGGGGTGTTGGAAGCCGATGTGCTCAGGGATTGACAGGCTTCCAGCGCCCTGTGCACTGTCCCCGCCATCTGCTCCCACCATGGTGCAACCCGGCGGCAGCCCATGCAGACAGGCAGGCTCAACTGAAGGAAAAAAAAAAGTGTTGAGGAGCCTGATTTTTTTTTTTTTCCCCTCCTCTCCCCCTCCCAGAGCCTGCCTGCCTCTCCGCTGGAGCTGTGCGGGGGCCTGGTGCTTCCCTCCGTGGCTACAGGACCGCCCGGGCCAGGTGCCAGCAGGCAGGTGCTGCCTGGGGGGCACTGCCACCATGGAGGGAAGCACCAGCCCTCTGGCAGCCACAGAGGGAAGCACTGGGCCCCCACACAGTAAGGGACCACTCGGCCTGCCAGCAGCTTGCCCCTTCCCACTACCCACTGCTCGAGAGGCAGGTAAGGATCGGGCCCCCACCCTTGTGTACATGCTACGGGGGTTTAGTTCAGTTTAATTCTCCCTAAATTGAAACCATGGAAATGATGGGTTTTTAAAAACCCACCGTTTTAATTTAGAGAGCACTAAACTGAATTAAACCCGCGTGTTGTGTACAAGCAGCCCTTTAGTCTGGAAAGAGAAGTCTTAGAGGGGATTGAATAGCAGCCTTCAGCTCCCTGCAGGGGGTTGCAAAGAGGATGGAGCTGGGCTGTTCTCAGTGGGGGCAGATGACAGAAGGAGCAATGGGCTCACGTTGCAGCGAGGGAAGTTGAGGTTGGATATTGGGAAAACTTTCTCATGACGAGGGTAGTAAAGTCCTGGAACAGGTCACCCAGAGAAGTGGTGGAGTCTCCATCCTTGGAGGTTTTTAAGACCTGGGTAGACAAAGCCTTGGCTGGGATGATGCAGTCGGGGCCGGTCCTGTTTGGAGCAGGGGTTGGACTAGATGTGACCTCCCAAGGTCCCTTCAACCCTCATTTTCTCTGGCTCTATTATACTATTGCTACTCGTGTTGCAGCAGTACTTTTGCGAGCATTGCCAGTGCAAAACCTGGCGTTTTGTATTCTCAACCAACTTCTCGCAGTCCCGCACGCAATGTGTCGCTGCCATTCTCACACAGTCATTAAGGTGGTCATCTGTCAGAGCCAACCTGAATATGGATTTCAGTATTTCATTGCTGAAAACCCAGCTCCGCTCAGGTATGTTGACTTGAAATGCACACTTAATCAAAGGAAATCTCCTTTCAAAAATGGCAGTTTGAATTTGTCTGCTAATGGCCAAAGTCTGGCTGAGGTGATCTTGCCTCTAATTGCACATCTGTTTGCAGATTAGGATTTCCATTTCCAGGTTAGCTGCATTTCCCTGGAAGACGTTTGCAATCTGATCAGCAATTTTGCTTATATCACTGACAGCAAATGGATTAATAATGTAAAGGCCTACTGGCTTGATACGGGTAATGTCAAAAAAAAATCTTGACAAGATTACTGAGAATGCATAGTCTTATCAAAGTTAATTTATTCAACTTTTTTTGCAAGGCTACGGGAGGAATACAAAGACTCTTTTCTGGAACTGGATCATCAATAGCTCTGCTCTCTTTTTTTTAAGTATTTGCTGATCCCATTTGTGGGTCATGGGTTTCCCTTCACTTTGAATGTCCAGATTAATGCCATTAAGTGTGAATATCAGACTGGGGAGAAAAAAATCAGCTGATCACTTATGACTACTGAGTTTTTCGTCCTATTCACCTCTGTATTTTCAAGCGGTATGTATTTCTGGGAGGAAATATTGTTATCTTGTCAGTACTTCCCCCTTGCTGAGCTCTTTACCTCTTTGTTGCAGTTTAGACAACCGCAGTGTGCATCAGTCTGGGGTGTCGGAAATCTGCCTGGGGTTGATTTTATTATTTTCAGAACTACACCCATGAGATGCGGACAGTTTCTCAGTTTGATATATGAAGCCTGATGGTGGGTTGTACAGTAGCAAGTGAAATCGGGGAAACCAGACTCTTCCTTGCACATGAAAAGAAAATCGGTATTACTACCTCCCACGGCATGGATGCTTTATGGGCTATTCTTGGAACACGTTTTAGGATGGTTCGTCCTTTTCTTCCATGCCGATCTCCAGCTCTTGCAAAATGTCTTGCCCACAAGTCGTCTTTCTCAGCAGAATCATTTTCAGCTGGTTCTCTTTGAAATTGCCGTTCTCGAGCACCATTCAAAGAGTCCAATTAAACGGGCAATCTCAACAACCTCCCTTGACTCATCTCATTGGAAACGGATGACCAGCGTATTTGCAGCTACTTTATTCACCTTTCCTTCAGCATCTTCAGAAATGACTTCGGCTCGTCTTGACGACTCCAAGAATTAGACGTCTTCTGTAACGTTCAAGGTTTTGTTTTTTTTTTAATCGTCAAATGATGAGTCTGTGACTGCAAGTAAACACTCTCTCACTAGCTCGCCACCTTCAGATAGTTTCTTGTTTTGACAGGCTTTCTTGAAAGAGGCATTTATTGCAGATTTGCTTGTGTGCTTGGTAAAAAATACTTTGCTGAGTGGCTGAAGGCACTTTTCAGAGCCTCTGCTTTTCCTTGCCCTCCTCCCTCTGCGCCCCCGCGCATTGCTGTTTTGAGGCTACTTAGCACAGTGCTTCTGATGCAGTATTGTGAAGTACCACTTAAGGTTTCATTTCTTCCCACCAGGCGCACAGGTATGGCAAACAAGGCAAGCACGTTTACCACTGACTTTCATGGAGAAATATTGCTCCTACCATTTGTGATGAAAGTTGTACTTCTCTCTTGGTAGTTCACAAGAAGCCACTTGCTTTTAAAGGTGTGGACACGTGGTACTACAGAGTAATTAGCCCTGGACCTGCTCCACAGTGAATTCAGGTCTCCTAAGCCAACCTGCTTGCAGCAGGCACACGAGAATGCTGGCTGGCAGGGAACCAGCTTTCGTTGAGCAGACGGCTCCCGCGGGATGTAGTCGGGTAGGTGAGCGGAGGCGTGCAGTACCATTCCCCCATAGTAAAGTTTACAGCATCTTTTCTGCATGATTTACTACACAGTAGGGCTGTGTGTTGGGTGCGTCTTCACCCTCCACCATGCACTCCCCAGTGTTACCAGCACTAAGGCACCTATATCCAACTGTCCTTCTCCTCTGCTTTATTTTTGCTCTGTGCCTTGTCCCCAACACCCAGATCCTCCTTCCATTTCCTTTCTCCCTCCATATATTTCATGCTTCTCGTAGCAACCTGCTCAGCTGCCCCCAGAGAGTCACTTGGCTCACAGACCACTGCCTCTCCTTCTCTGCCACTTGATGCCCATTGTCCATATATCCCATGGTCTGCCATTCCCGGCACTTGTCTGCTCTCACCTCCTCCCCACCACACACGCTTTCTGCATGTTTTCTACCTGTTTCTCCCTTCCGTACCCTTCTCTACTGTCCCTCATTCACTCCCTGAACTGTTAGTATCAAAGGCTCCTTCACAGGGCCCCAAGTTGTTCCTTGCCATCTCTGTTTATCTTCCCTTTTCTCCCTGCCCCCCATTTCCCTAAAACAGGGGCGGGCAATTATTTCAGGCGGAGGGCCACTTACCAAGTTTTGGCAAGCTGTCAAGGGCTGCATTTTCCTCTCTGGTGCTAGGCAGGGGCTTCTGGTGGGGCAGGGGGGGACTGGGCAGGCCTTGCTGCTGGTTCCTGCCACTGGCTTCCCCTGGGTCCTACTGCCC